GTTTCCTTTGTCTCAAAGAAAAATTTCAGGAAGCCTTTGTGTAACTAATTAACCTTATATTATGTGCGCAGTGGCCCACCAGGGTGATTCAGGGCTGAAAACAGACAGGGAAGGAAGCTGGATTTTCATTTAACCTGTTTGCTTCATATGAAAGAAAGGAAGCCTCACTACTCTTAGTTTCAAGAGAAGAGAAGAATATAGATGATTCTGTAAATGACTTTTAATAATGCTTTTATGTTAGCCATATGAAATAGTTTTGTTTCAATGTTTATTTCCTTAAATTTAACTAATCATCAAACCAAAAAGAAAGACATCTCTCAGTTCTGAAAATTTTAATTTTCTTAGATCTCTGATTGAGTCTGATTTGCAGTGGAATAGAGCAGAAAGGCCCTGGATTTTAAAAAGTTGGAAGACGTTTCTGGCCCTGTGACTTTAGGCCAGCCAAGCCCTTAATTTTTCAGTTTTGGTTTCCTCATCTGTAAAATGGGTAACCTGTAATACCTTCCAGTCCCCTCAGAAGTCTCCTGTTGTGAGGATATTATGGAATAGTGTTATGTGAAGGGTCTTGGCAAATTATACAGCTGTTTTCAGACTGAAGACATCTTATTCATGCTGCTCTGATTGTGACAATATCCAACACACATGCCAAGTACCATTATACTCCACTATAATCCCAATCCAGTGGTCCCATGAGCCTGGGATCTAGCCTTGAATTTCTTGTTTTAAACTATATCCCTCACCACCTGGACCTAGGATACTCCAGTCTACATCATTGATCGAGAATAGCCAGAGAAGAATGTATAGTAAGTCACATGTCACAAACTTCTTGCTGAACAAAAGCCACCTGAAATGTAGAGTTTGTGTAACATTGTTGATATGAGCTGTTCGGTTTCAGAGAACTCAGAAGAATGGTATAAAAAGACATATGAAACATTCTTGAAGTGTTCTGAGAAACTGATCAACCCTTAACTTTGATATACAGACAAGCAAATGGAAACCCTTGTTTTACATTTTACTGGAGACATGTATGAGATGGTTTAGAGTTAGGCCACAGTGACAAATGAACACATTGCCCTGCATTCAAAATGCTGTTGGCTCATTATGCCCTGCAGTTTCAAGGAAAGCTATTTGTCTCTTCTGTCTCCACACTGTACAATCTTGGGATAATTATTTATTCACTAGCATCTGCACAACTTTCTTCTTAGAAACCTAGGTAATTCTTACAAATATTAAGTCAGATTTAGGGTACTAGGAATAATCAGTGAATAAGAAATCTCATAGAAGTACAATATGTTTCCATTTCCAATTTCCAGAGTATTGTGTTGAGTCTCTACTGTATTGGAATAGGTATTTTTTCAGGTCAGTTTCTCAGCATTTTGAGACAAGTATGCTGTTTCAGTTTTGGATACTGTAATTATTAACACGAAGACAATTTTAGTATTTTTCCATAAAATACAATTGGTTTATATCTGTGGAGGTACTGACTAGTGTCAGGATGTTACTCCCAAAATTAGAAATAATTGATGCCTAATACAAATTATTATGCAGTAACAGGTAATGAGGTCAAATATTTTAAGAAGAACAGCGATGCCTACTTGGACTAAACCATTTCAGATTCCCCACTTACATAATAACTTAATTATTATTATTGATTTGAGTAATGAACAGAACCGCTACCTTCATAAGCAACACAGAGGGACTTCTTCATTATTTTATGATAAACTTAATGTTTTCCTTAATACCCATGTTTGAACATGCTTATTCATCATCATTTAAATGCAATGCCTATACCACTGAAGAAGACAGTACTGGCCAACTGTTCATTTACATATAAAGGAGAGTTGGATTTTTTCTAAACCAAAGTTTCACACTTCATAAATATGGGCAAAACTCTACTTTCCAAGGACAGTGATATCTGAGAGCAAATCCACATGAAGGTGTCTCAAGTGTGTAGAGAAGATTTCCACCAGGTGGGCTGTGTGCTCTGTTTTAGAAGCTCAGCACTGAATCCCATAGCTGGAGGGGCAGTGCTGGACACCACCAGCTGGTCCCTGTACAGCTGCAGCTGACCACGTTTGGCCTGGACTTTGGGAGAAGGTACTGAGGTGGATAGGAAAAGGCAATTTCTGCTGTTTCCCTTAAGAGAGAATAAGTGAGAACCCGGAAATGCTGGTTCCCTGACAGGAAGTGGGAGCCTGTGTAGAGAATTGTCCACTCAGCACTCCTGCCCAGATCCTGCTACCAGAGTGTGTGGACTTACTGGAAGCAGACTCAGGGGGAACCTCTTAGGCTTTCTGCTGGCATCCTTGACCTTCACCTCACAGAGGCAATACACTGCCCAAGGTTTCATGTTAGAAAGAAGCCTGGGGCCTCCCAGCCACCTCATCCTTTAGTTCCCAGCTGCAGCAGAACTACTGACAGTTTCTTTAGCTTGGCCTGCGTTTTCCACATGTGTTGTCCTGGCCAGTTTCTGCCGTCAGTAGAGTTCTTTTCATTGAGTCATAAATCTAATGGAGGGAATAAACAAACAAAACAAAACCCACACCATTCAAGTTCATGAATTTATGTTGGGTGGGAGCGAAGGGAGGAAAGTTGGTGCAAATCTGGAAAACTTTAATTCACAAAGTATCTGTTGGCCTTGTGCTAGGAGCTAGGGAGGCAGCAGTTGTCTCTTCTTTCAGAATTTGCACTATCTGATTAACTAAAGGGTCTCTTTCTGTGTAGTAAAATTGACCTCTGCTCTAAGGGAGAGATATTTCTGGACCTGCTGCTTAGCTGTTCATGGATGTGAAGAGTGGGGATGAATGGGGAGCGCTGATATGTTTCTTAGTGACTCATTTGGTGATTACTCCATTGTTTGAAGGAGTGGAAGTTATGTAATCAACATTCTATCACTTCCCCCTACTTTTTCACCCCAAACATTCTGGGATTTTCCATCATTTTGTCAGTCTTCCTGGAGGCATGCTGATTTTTCCATTAGAATTTTTTGGGCACATCCCAGGGCAACCCAAACTCACCACACCCTGGAGCTTCAGATTCCTCATCACTGGCAGAGCCTGGGAGAGCAGCTGAGTGAGCCTGTTCTTCCTTGGCAGGGCTGGGCTCTAAGCAGTTTCCTGAAGCATGGCTGAGAGCAACAAGAGGGAAGGTGCTGCCTGCTCTTCTTTCATGCAGTGTAACTTCCATTCATTTTGACATTGAGAAGGAATAGACAATTTGATCCTAATTGGGAGTCATCTATTGTCATCTTTTTCCTACTCTGTTTCCTTTTTATTCAGCCAATAACACGTATGTATGTGTGGAGATTTCTTTATAAGTAGCAAAGTTTAGAAATGCCTAGTTAAGGAACTTCTGTAGCACCCTTGCCTGGAACTCAAGACATTTTAAGATGTCATTTTCAACACGCAGTACACTGAAGACTTGTGCTTGTAGAAATTACTATAGTGAAATGCATTACTGCTGAAAGCCACACACAGGAAAGCTAGAAGGGATTATTGTTTTGTGGGAAATTGAGCCTGAAGTGAACCCAGAAGATCTTTGACTTTAGCCATGTTTATGTGCCATACTGCGAACGGGGTCTGCAAGTGTGGGAGGTGCTAGATAGACATAGCAGAGGTAAAGAAGCATGTGGGTCTAGCAAAGGACGGCCCCTTGGTGAATCTGCAGGTTCTGATATCTCACTCTTCTTCTCTCTTATGTAAAGCAAGTTTTGTAGATTTTATCTCCTGTATGCACCTCAAATTGTCTGCTTGTCTTACCTGCATTGCCAGTTTCCTAGTCAAGTCATCATTACCTCTCAGCAAAACTAGTGCAATAACTGTTTTACAAGTCTTCCCATATCCATTCATATTCACCTCATGCACCACTCTTTACAGAACAGCCAAGGAGATCTTACGATGTGGTCAGGTCATTCTTCTACATAAAACTCTCAGCAATTTTCTGTTTTACTTAGGATAAAATGATAGATTCCTTAAAGTGCTGCCTGCTTTCCTCTTCAATTTCATCTCTGGCAGCTGCTCTCCTTGATCACCCTGCTTCAGCTGTGTTGATCTTTTTGATACTAACATACATCAAGCTCCTGTTCCATATTGTGATACTTTCCCTTTGCCTTGGACTAGGGTCCTCTAACTTTATTGCTCATCAGAATCACCTGGGTTATGTGCTAAAAAACAGATTTTTGGGCTCCACTCCCAGAAGTTTTGACTAGGTAGGTTTGGAGTGGGGCTGAGAATTTGCCTTTGATAATTTCCATGTGGTGCTGATACAGCTGCTCTGGGTACCACACTTTGGGAACCACCAGTCTAGTGCACTCTCCCCCTCCTCAAAGTCCTGTGCATCCTTCAGATTTTAGGTCAAATATCTTTCTTCTCCTAAGAGAAGCGTCTCCTGGTTCCCCCAGTCTTGCAGGGATTCTTATGTATATATTAACATGCATCTTTTCCTTTTCCTTTAAAGCCCTTATGACATTGTATTTGAATATTTAATTGTGATACTAGATTTTAAAAAAATGATTGAATCTATTGCAAGATTCAGATGTCCAGAGGCCATTTCTGTCTTGTCTCCTGCTCTTTCCTTCTCTAATTCCTTGCATATGAAGAATGCTAAATAATTATTGGCTGAGTTAATGAATATTACTTTTTCCTTTCCTTGTTATAGGTACCTGAAAATAACTGCTGTGATGCTAATGTTTTAAGTGAGTGTGAATGATAAACAAGGACTCTTTAGATGAACTAGTAGAGGTGTACTGAAAGAATAAGCATATTTTGTTGTCAGGGATGCAGGATGTTTCAGTCAAGAGTTAGTGTTTTTTTTGGTTTTGTTTTGTTTTTTGGCCAGGGCCCAGCACATTGTGGAAAGTCCCTTGAATTGTACCTGCTCTACTGAGAATGCTAACAGTTCTTTCTCAGCTTGCCTTCTTCAGTCCATCCATGCTGCTATGTTGTGAGTGTCTAATTATATATTTAAGTTTTTGTTGTTCTTATCCTTTTTTTTTCTTACAGATATGGAATGTGCAGATGTCCCATTATTAACTCCAAGCAGCAAAGAAATGATGTCTCAAGCACTGAAAGCTACTTTCAGTGGTTTCACAAAAGAACAGCAACGACTGGGAATCCCAAAGGGTATGCTTTTGTAGTTGGAAAATGGAACTGGGGCCAGATCCTTAGGAAGGGTTTATTCACTCGCCTGTAGTGTGTGAGGCAGACATTAGCCTATCCATGGTTAGATCAGCAGCTATAGGTTGTTGCACACATCCATTAGAACAATGATAGACACACAAGCTTGAGATCCACCATCTGCTGGCTTATCACTGCCATCTTGGGCTTAGAATAGTGGTTCCTGATCCTGTCTACACATTCAAATCCCCTCTGGATCTTTGAAAACTTACAGGGTCAGGTCCTATTCTGGTGGCATCAGTATAGTATTTTTTAAGCTCCTTAGATGATTTCAAAGTGCAGACATGTTTGGGAAATTTTGTTTCAAGGTTATTTTGGGCCACCATTATATGAACTCAGTGAGCTACATTTCTTGGAATTTACTGATTGATCTTTTCTCTTCCATGTACTTTGGCAAAATGTGTTTGTCCTTTGTGCCAATCCTCATCTGGAAGAGGTTATTCAGGAATAGAGAGTCTGATATTGTCAGAAAGAGAAGTGAATGGAGAACATGTCAGGTTTCACAGTTCATGAACACTTAAGAGCAGAAAGACCATGTTTCTCTTGAGAGTCAGGCTGTTTAAATCATCAGCCAGTTCAACTTCTGGGTGAGAGATTTCAGCCTTACCAAACTTGTGCTTTCAACATTCTGTCAATGTATCTATATACCTTTTCCCGTGTTTACGATTTTACTGCAGACCTTAGTGGACAGCAGTGCCAAATATCTTTTGAGGATCACAAGGCAGAAAAAGATGAATTCTGACTACTGGGCTTCTCCAAAGCTCATAAATAGTCTTACAGATTGAAGTGGGGACCCTTGGAGCAGCTATGACATAGGCACTGCAATCTGCTGTTGTCTGAGCTCTTCAGATGTCATTTGCAGGTGTAGTTGTATTAAACCACAGGCCATATATGGAGATTATGAGTTTTCTACACTACTGTACTCCTCAAAGTAGGGCCTATAATATTTACAGACTTTGCAGGATTTCCAGTATAATACAGGCACCTAATAATGTCATCACCCAGTACCATTTAAATGACTTACCCTTACTAATTGCTATGATTATTACTAAGCATAAGTGGCTAAGATAAAAATAATTGGAAATAATGATCCCAAATTTATTATAAGAGTTAAGAGCATGGAGAGGCCTGTGTAATCCGTAGAAAACACTGTGCTTTATTATTACTGCTATTACAGCAGCCATTTACTCCCTGGCTGGGGCTTTTAAAAAAATCTAATGGAAATATGGCAGTGGGAGGAGATTCATGGAAATCTTTGCCTGAGTGAAGGGCAGGGAATGTGCCTATTCCTCCTCCTGTGTTACTTTTTGGTTGACCAGAGTGCTTTCTCGCTGTAGAGAAGGTGGGGATGTTGAATGTGGGAGAGGGGCTGTGGGAGGTACCGATGAGCTCTGTCTGCAGGCTGGTGCTTCCTGATTCTGTGGCTAGGATAGCATCCTCAGCAGTGCTCAGTCCTCCAGTGTCTACTCTAGAGCCTGACCTACTGCATCTTCATTTGGTCTCTTCCCTCAGACCCTCGTCAGTGGACGGAAACCCACGTTCGGGATTGGGTGATGTGGGCGGTGAATGAGTTCAGCCTGAAGGGTGTGGACTTCCAGAAATTCTGTATGAACGGAGCAGCTCTCTGTGGCCTGGGTAAAGACTGCTTCCTTGAGCTAGCTCCAGACTTTGTTGGGGACATCTTATGGGAACATCTAGAGATCCTGCAGAAAGGTAAATGTGTGGAAACAGGGAGGGTGGGGGTTGTGTGAAATTACTATGAATGGGGAGGGAGATTGACCCAGTGGGGATGTAATGCAATCAGGGCATAGATGGTCAAAGGGGATGTGCCTAACATAGTGCTTGACATCTAGCAGGTGCCTACTACAGGGCAGCTTCTTTTCCTTCTATGTATTGTGGGTTAAGATTTTAATTTTAAGCACTTTTGTACTCCATTAACTTTATGATATGCACAGTTCTGATCCCAGTTGTTTTCTTAGGCCCATGTACTATGTGTTGGCAGTGCCCCTGGCCAATGCCAGAATAGTTTTTGGCCTTTTTTCCTGGCAATCTTAATACACATCTCCTTGATCCATGGCCATGTAATAGTTGGTCACATGCACAAGAAAGCTTAGCTTTTCTGAGCTTGTTAATAAGACAGGCCTGTCTGCCCACTGATGGGCTGGAACTGCAGAGGTGTAGAATACTGTTCACATCTAGAGCGGAAGCCAGGGTCAGATCAGGACGAGGTGTTGCAACCTTGTAATGACACAGCCTCCCCTATTGGCTTCTTCCAACTCTTCCAACCTTTTTGGACCAAGTGACTCATGTCCCACAGTCTTGGCTGAGTACAGAAACAGCAGCAGGCAGTGAACTTGGGTGTTTTTGCCCTTATTTTTCTGAATTTCTTCTTAAAATAAATTTCAGTTACCAGCAGTCAGCAGTGCCCTCCCGCTGACTGTAAGCCTAGAAGCCCGCTGCCCTCTGTAACCCAGGCCCACCCTTTCTCTGTGGTCACCAGCTCCAGCCCTTGGTGTGGGCACTGGGGAAGGGTGCAAAGCTCAGGATTAGCACTTTTAGTCCATATAATACCTGTCTTTGTGTGTATAAGAATATTCTTCACCCTGCAGTGTTCAGGAGAGACCCAAGTGAGATTCCTGGGGATGCAGGGCTGTGACCTTTATTTCTTCTCTTCAGGTTTTCTGTTGACAAATAACACAGTCAAGAACTAGATGAATCTACCTGTAACTGCCATGGTGGAGGGCTGGCAGCAATTCCCAGTCCTCTCCACCGCCCTGGCATGCTGTTTGTGCAACTGCACACACACCCACTCTGAGGTGTCAACACAAAACAACCTGTTCATAGAGGGAAAAGTTATAGGAGGCTCATTGGAGATCTGATTTAACTGCTGGCAGCAGATTGGACCCACTGTGTAAATCAAATATATTCTACTACATACTATGACATTGCCCTTTGTTCATCACAATGGAACTACCAGGTGTTTTGGGTGTCTAACTGTCCAAATCATATATGTATCTAGTGTCTTAGTAAATCAATAGTGTCTTGTTTCAAAAGTGCTATAAAACACATCTTCTCTTTGGATTATCAGAATAACCCTGTGAGATAGGAATGCCAGGGACCATGATTGTTCTTGTCCATCAAAATCACACATTTTTAAACTCTATTGTCTTTAACTTTTAAGCCTCTTTTCATTTTTTCTTTTGTCTCTTTGACTGTAACTTCCCATCCTGTCTTCTTTCTCTGGTCATGTGGATGCATGGGGAGCTTCTGGACCTAAGACAGGTCTGGCTTGCCTTTCTGCACAGAAATATCATGAGGGACTTTAAGAGAATTAGGATATAACTGAGTATACCTGAGAACAAAAAGCATACCTTCCTGCCCAGTGTTCCATGGAGCGAGACAGTAAAAATCATCCCTTTTCAGGTCCACATACTTGAAGCCATGAGGGATCTGTTTGTACCGAGGCTACAGTTATGGTTCTATAATTAAACCAAAGGAACATAGCATCCAGAGAACACTGATGTTTGGGGTGGAGTGGAGGGCTAAAGGTACAGGGGATGTTTCAACCTGATAAGCTGCTAAAGCAGAATTTAATCAGTTTATCTCAACTGAGAACTTTTTTTTTGGTGTATGTGTGTATGTGTGTGTGTACATGCATAAACTTGTTTTCCCGTGAGCCTTTGTTCCCAAGAAGCTATCAAATAGCTGAGGAAAAACACAAACCAACACGCTGTCTTTATGTCTGATTCCATGAAATATAGTCATATGGCTCCATAATAGTGCCAGAGGCTCCTTCTTCCCCCCTTAGATTCCAGGGTAAACAGAAGATCCCATACTGAACATAACCAGGTAGAAAGCACTTCTGTCCTTAGATACCCTTTCTCTCCCTTTCTTTCTTATCCCCTGGGAAGCAGTTTGGTTGTGTTGCTGCCCTTCCCCTTTATATAAGCCTTCCTCGTTCACCAAATGGAATCACCTTACCAGTGTTCCATTTCTTGTCTGGGCCTGAACTTGAATTGTAAGAGCAGTGAGAGAAACAGAGAACAAAAACCAAACATCTGTTAGAAGTGGAGGATGTGCAATCTACTTGCCTAAAGATTGCAGCGTATTTCTGAAAAGGTTTGGAAATGATCCGTTTCGGGGTTGGGCACTGATCTTGGTGACATCTCCACTCATTGTCCAGCCTTTGAATCTAGTCTCTAGTGTGATACATACACACAGCACAGAGGCTGAAAATGAGAGCTTAGCGATTACTCATTGATTCACTTTCCAAGATATTAAATCCCATTTTGTAGCTACTGAAATAATAAACTTAGCCATACTTTTGTGATCTCATCTCTTGACAAGGCCCCAATCAGGGTAGTCTCAGACACCAATGCAGTTAATGAACTTGCACATTTCTTAGAAAAAGTGTTGAGATCATTGTGGCTTTTGCATCCAAGATCCTTTTAGGCTAAGTATTCCTTACATGTTGACTTCTTTATTTCATTTCCTACCTTGTCTGTTGCAGAGGATGTGAAACCATATCAAGTTAATGGGGTCAACCCTACCTACCCAGAATCCCGTTATACCTCGGATTATTTCATCAGTAAGTTACAGCATTTGCTCCCTTCCCTCACCTTGCTCATTATAATGGGACACTAGGAAAGGTCTCCTGTCTCACTTGATCTCAGGCTCCTTCGTGGTAATTTTATGGCAAATAATGTTTTTTTAAACTACAGAGTCTTGTTAATTATTAATTATTTCCCATTTCTACTTTATATGTGCCTTATAATTTTCTGTCCTCTCTTTTTTTTTTGTAGTGGTAGAGATTGAACCCTTGGACTTGTGTACTCTAGGCAAGCACTCTACCATTTAGCCACAACTCAGCCTAGTACATACCTTACTAGCCTGCAAGTTTCTGCATAGTACATCTTGGAATGTGAAAGTCACAGGGAAGGAATACAACTCGACCTCTAAATTTTGGATCTTGTTTGATCCTGTGCACTATATTGGCCAACAGGGTTGGGTTAGTGATTTGATTTTGGTCCCTGCTCTTTCCTTTTTTACCAGTGGAAATCACAGCATTTCCTCTGAAATGCCTCTTTAAGAGCATGCTATGCAGCTTTGGGTCCTACTACAGAATATAAAACCTTCTTTTTAGTATAAGATACCTAGCCATGCCAGAGAGGTGGCCAGAGGAGCAGAATTAGTATAGAGCTGTGCTTAGCTGATGGCTTTGTTTTCCTTCGAAACAAATGGGGTTGAACAGGGTTGTTTTCATTTTATTTTTTTAATTATTGTTTTTATTCCAATAATATTTTGAATATCACAAATGTTGGGAGGCAGTTTACATATATTTATTCTCATTTGATCTTCATCTCAGCACTCTGAGGAAGATTGCAGACATACTTATTTATAGATGAAGAAAATTAAATCAGAAAAGGAAAGCATTTTATCAGTGGCTACAGCCATTAAGTAGTGGAGCAAGGTTAAAAACTCAAGATTTTCTAACTTTTAAGTATTTTCCTTTAATTCTCTAAAGTAGCTAGCTCATTTCACACTGTGAGGGCATCACAGTGGTGCAGAACTGCACTTTCTAGGTACACATCTCTCTTCCCTAACTGCAAGCATCTCCTTGTCCAGGTTATGGTATCGAGCATGCTCAGTGTGTCCCTCCATCAGAGTTCTCGGAACCCAGCTTCATCACGGAGTCCTACCAGACGCTCCATCCCATCAGCTCAGAGGAGCTCTTGTCCCTCAAGTATGAGAACGACTATCCCTCAGTCATTCTCCGGGACCCTCTTCAGACAGACACCTTGCAGACCGACTACTTTGCCATCAAGCAAGAAGTTGTCACCCCCGACAACATGTGCATGGGGAGGACCAGTCGTGGTAGGTCACATCTCTTCTCTGAAAGCTGTGGAGTTTGCAGGAATTACTTACCTTTGTGAATTTTTCAGGTCCCATTTTTTTCTCACTTATAAGCACCATAGATTCCCCAGTTGTGGACTTCCTGTCTTGGAATGCCTAGATAATTAAGACCTCTGTATCATGGAATTTCAGCCACATAGATCACGATGACAGAGACTTCAGGGTCCATGGAGGGATTCAAGTCTGGCAGAATAAATAATCATATGTCTCGTTCTAGTTCAATTTGATCATTTAAAAAGAAAGACACCTTATTTTCTTTGAGAGAATTTTGCTTGAGGGGAACACAGTAAAAGAAAAATGGTTTAGTGACCCTCTTGGGAAACTCTTAGGCTTTGCGTGTGTCCTGTGTTCCTCCCACAATACTAAATTGGACTGTAGAACCTGACTTGGTACCTGGCATGACTTGTGCTTATTCAGCCTGGGATCTTTAGGCTCCTGTGACTTCTTTGGTTTGGGAAGATACAGGATGGTTGACCAGTGGTTTATTTGGCTCCAGTCATCAACAGTGTGGTGAAAGTGTGTATTTGTCTAGAGGACCAGGGAAAGGTAGCCAGAGGCTTCCAAAAGAAGGTACTCTTGTTGAAATGACTATTATAATAGTGATAAATCATTCAATGGCAGTGAAGTAAACTTTTCAAAATAGAGCAGACTGACATAAAGCAAAAAGGTAAATTATACCTAACTTTTACAACCATGATATAAACTATCAAAGGTATTACCTATGAAGTAATATAGTCAAAGTACAGTTTATTATAAAGAAGACGTATTTAAAAGATGACTTTTCTGGTGGGTAAATAGGAAGGAATTAGTGACAGAAAGAAGAGTAGGAGAAAGCTAAGCCAAGTGGTAAAGAGCCTTTGGTTGGTCACAGAAGTCAGACTTGGGCCAGTATGTTAGTGATTTCTGCTTTAGAGCCTGCCCAACTGTGATACGATTCTGATGCTCTTGGAGGTTCCCTTACTTTGGAGGGTCACCCTGTTTGCATCTTGGGCCACACATACTGTCTTTTTCTTTGAGTGTTCAGGTTTACACTTCCTGCCAGCAAGTCTTGGATAACCAACGGACCCTACACAGGGAAAGTCCCTACAAACTCAGAACCTATAATTGTCCTTCTTAGCGTCCCAGAGTGTTTGTGTTTCAGACCGAAGGGGATGGGTGGGGCCAATTTTGTCTTCCCCTTTCTGTCTTTTATTTTTGGGTGTATGTCTATTGAAATGGACAAGTATATGGCCAAAGCATTAGAATGACCTTCACTTTCATGGGCTTTCTCTACATATATGTAATGAGACTGAGTTGTGGGTTTGGGGTTCAGCCATGTTGTAACTGGGTAGATCCCTGTTACATTGTTTTAAAATTACATCTGGCTTTTTGTATCTGTGTAATTGTGTCTTCTCTCTCCCTCTCTTGCTTTGTGGTTTGGTTCCCACCACCTTGTTAACCCCAAACTAATGACGATAAACCAGAAGTGACCCTTACAAAAGGACATGAGGGATTTCTCTCTGGCTCTACTCTCAGTCTTCCTTTCCAAGTTACAGGCCACTGCAATTTAAGAGGAAGTCCATTTTGTGCAGCAGGTCTGCTTTCTGCATGTTAGAGGTGCTGCAAACAAGACTGATTCCAAGGCCAGTTGAATCTGAGATGGTCTAGACTGAAAACATTACTGTTAGAGGATTATTGTTAATAATCATAGTATTCATATACTGCATTGTAGTGTACAAAGTGCGTCTGTGTCCTACTTGCTTGGCTTCTGAGGCCTGTCTTTGTGCGGGTCTATTCAGTGGCTTGCTATGTGCAACTCATTTACTCTTCTGTGTGCTCTGAGGTTTGTTCCATGGAGTTAGAGAGTGTTGGAGGGGCCTCTCTGAGGCATTTCTCAGAAAATCTGGCCAGTGCACATCTTAGAGGATATGTGATTCCCTGTGTGAGCACAGTAGCAAAACTGAGGATCTAATCCAGTTGGAGTCAACCCATTTTTGGAGAAAATGCCCGTAAATGAAGGTTTCCAGCTCCAGGGTTGTGAAATAGAGCTAAAATGAAAGCTGCCTTCAGCTATAAACCACAGTTCTTTACAGAGTTGCATTTGGCTCATGTTTGAAAGGTTGCCAGAGAGTGGCTATGGCCTAGTTTAATGCCGTTGCTTACTGGGACTCCTTGGAAACTCAACTGACTTGGTGGTGGAAACGCTGATCACCTTACCCTTCAAATATAAAAATGGCTCATAGAGATCAGTATCATTTCAGGAGACTTAAGCATTGCTGCTGCCTTAATATTGGTGACTGGGTGGGATGGTCTTCATGAAAATATAAATTCTCTTTTGTAGTCTTTTGATGTGTTTGTCTCCCAAAGAACTGAATTACCATTAAGATCCATAGCTGGTATGAGCAAGCACCTTTTTATAAGATGTCAGAAAATATCCTGTTGTGCTAAAAAGAAGCTAAGGCATTCTGTTTGTGAGTTGTTTTCCTGAGTCATTTAATGTGGCTTTCTGGGAGGGGCCACCCCTTCATTTTGCATAGTAAAAAGAGGTCCAGAGTGATGGAGGTTGTGTAGGCTGGGCTGATTACTCCATGAAGCCCCCCCCCCCTTTGAATGGAAGAGTAAAGGAATGAGATGAAGCAGATAACACCACCTTTTTTTATTGTAAGCAGTGCTTCAGGGAATGGGAGGAGCAGAATGATCTGCAGCATGATCCATTTTCATCTGGGAATTTTTTCTCAAAGTTTTAGGAATAACATACTTCCTTATGTATTTAATTTTGATTTGGGCATCTACTCATGTTTGAATTTTATTTTATTTTTTTAACCAATCCCTACCTTTGTGAAGGGGAGAACACACTGGAAATATATTAATATGTGGATGTACCACCAAATTTATTCTGGGAATGGAAATTTATAGATCAGCCAGGCTTGGACAGTTGGGAATTGATTCACAGGTATTTTTGCATAAACATTTGTTATCTTCTTTTGTCTCTCAGCATGTGCTGGACTGAGATGCCACTCTAGTCTCCTGTAATTTGCCTAGGTTGCCTGATGAGTATCCGGACATAGAATATAGAACATATCCCTGGGAGCCTTTTTAGGTCTTAGATGCATTTATTTTGCTCCAGTTTTTTTTTTTTTATTTGCTAAGCTTCTTTTTAGTGGCATTTTTTGCCAGTGGAAATTTCTCCAAGAGTTATTGTGCAATCATAGCAGCTGTTTATAACCTGGTTTGGGAAATTAATGAACTTGCATGATCTTGTGGTCAGTTAAGAATGCCTTAAGCAACCATCAGAGTAAAGAATTTCTGACACTGCTATGGACCTTAACTCTTTAATCAACTTCTTGACTTTCTTTTACTGCCTATACTTCTCCTAAGAAGCATAAATTTCAAGTACTGAATTAGACTTTGAAAGGATTAAGAATATAATTTTCTGTTTGAAATAGTGATAGTGTTTTTTTAATCTCCAGGAAACAACATCCCATAACTTTTTTCTCTATTTGAGATGGCATAAAGACAGGACATGTATTTCATTTTAAAATAGTATTTGGGAAAAAATGTTTAAAAATAACACTTCAGTTCCAAGGTCAAGGAAGGTCAATCTGCTCTTAGTCTAATGGAATTTTTTTTCTTACGATCAAAATATTTTGCCAAATTGGGCCTTTCAAACGCATTCCCTCACATTGACTTACAAAAAGGATTCAGTCTGATGCTGGTCTGATTTCTTCATTAATTCACTGGGTCTAATGCATCAGCCAGGAATCTTATGATAACATATGTGATTCTCGGCTTTGGGATTTTGGGCTCTGGAATTCTTGAGGTCCCAGACACTGCTGTGTCTCTTAGACAAATAAGAGCAATGTGTGACTCTGAATCTCTGTCTTAGGAGCTATAAAGTAGGCAGCAGCAGAGTACAAGTAGCCTTTCAGGTGGTGCTCAGCCTAGTCCCCTTTCTCTGGAGTAGACCCCTAATCTGTGGGGCTTCTGTTCCCAAGGGCCTCTCCCTTCTGTCCCTCCTGCAGGTCTGATTAGCAGTCTCTCCATAAGAGGGTTTTTACAGTTGTCTTTTCCCAATCCCTCCCCCTTCCCTCTTCCTACTTCCTCCTTTACCTCCAGGTAAACTCGGGGGACAGGACTCTTTTGAGAGCATAGAGAGCTACGATAGTTGTGATCGTCTCACTCAGTCCTGGAGCAGCCAGTCGTCTTTCAACAGCCTGCAGCGTGTTCCCTCCTATGACAGCTTCGACTCCGAGGACTATCCGGCTTCCCTGCCCAACCACAAGCCCAAGGGCACCTTCAAGGACTATGTGCGTGACCGTGCTGACCTCAACAAGGACAAGCCTGTCATTCCTGCTGCTGCCCTGGCTGGCTACACAGGTAGGCACACTCCCTGTCTAGGCAGCCCATCTGCACCCTTCTGTGGGTGGGGTTCGTGGAAGGCACTGTGCCACTTACCCAGAGGCCCAAGTCCACCCTCTTTCTTTTATAGGGGAAATGGGGAGACATCTCTAAGAGGTCTTCAGCCTCTCAGGCCAATCTGCTTGTGAATAGATGTTGATTTTTGGAAGTGGATAGTATCATTCCATCCAAGAGGTCATTTCCAAGAGTGGTAGGAAACTTATATTTTGAGGCTTTTTCCATATCTGGGGGAAGGCAGCTGTAATGATTTGATGTTCCTGGAAACTCTGTGTAGTGGCGTGGCATCAAGGGACTTTTCCTGGCCTGCTCTTGGGAGGTCTTTCCAATCATAAAACCAGCGGCTGCTTCTCTCAAAGGCATAATTGAACGAATGGACTACATGGTAGACTGCTTTGTCATGCAATTCACATTAGGTTAGCAGTTCAAATGTGAGAAACATGTCCTGTGTGGCCCTAAACTCTGTCCAGATCCACCCTGGCCTTCTATAGGAAATAATTTTTCTCACTTGGTTTTATGATTGATTTTCTTCCAGGAGTAGAATCTCTAATTAAAACAGTAGTGTGTGAAGAAAGACTGTAGAGAACAGAATATGTACATTGAGAGCTTGGGCTTTGGTTGAGAATCTGGCCGTAGAGTAAAACATCGTACTGTCGTAAGTGGGTTGTAGCACAAACCTGGGGAACAGCTGAAGGCTGTGTCTGAGAAATGTCCAAGGAGCCTTAACTGGTGTTAATCATCTGATCCTTTCTGTGATTGCAGTGTTTTCTAAAACTTAGAAAGTATGTTGTGAGTGGAGCTTATTTTAGGCTTTGACTATTTGCACGTGGTCTGAGCCTCTATTCTTTTACAGTGTCTCCACCCTGGCAGATTACCTTATAGGCACTCTCTGTGTGATTGAAGACAAACAGCAAAATCTGTTTTTCTTTGGACCTATCTGTCTGACCTAAAGGGTGTGCTAGATACTTATTGTGTTCAGAGAAGGCTTAGGATTTTTCTGAGGAAAACCAATTGACCTTTGAGAAGAAAGATTTCTCAGATACTGAGAAAAACTACTCCTCCTTCAGAGATTGAGAGTGTGTCTTTATGTTGTGTTCCCCAAAGACCCTAGTGAGTTCATTGCATGAACGGTGCTTAGGAAATATTTCTATGTTTTGAGGTAGCACCAAAGGCTATTATACTTAGAGTCATGGGTCAGGAAAGGAACTTGACAGTCTCCTATTTTATTATTTAAAAAATATCTCTATGGTCTTTGCTTGAACATGGCTAGTAGGTGGGAACTTGCTACACTTTAAGGGAGTCTTCCCATCTTTGGATGACAGATTGTTAGAGAGTTTACCCACTTTCTTTAAAGACATCTGAGATGAGGAAAAGCATATAGATGTCTCTCATCATGGACAAGAGTGCCAGCTCCTGTAGTTGGCACTAGGTTCCAGTTGGATGCATTGATGAAAGAGGGACAGGCAAAGTATTGTGTAGTTGGGAAGAGGAAGAAAAGGTCTAGGCAGCTTTGCAGTGATTGACATCACTCTTGATTGGATATCGTTTAATAGGTTCTTTCCCACCGACCTACCCACCCTTCTTTTTCCTTTCTTTCTTTTTTCCTTCCTTCCTTTCCTTCTTTCCTTCTTTCCTTCCTTCTTTCCTTTTCCTATCTTTCTCCCTCCCTCCCCTTCCTTCTTTCCCTTCCAAAGTTCTGTGTTTTCCTACCACCTGGGATCAGGGACTAGAACAGTCAGTGAATAGAGGAAAAGAGAGGAGCATTACAATTTCAGTCTCAAAGATTGAATAATCAGTTGAATTACAAACATTTTTCAATATCTCACCATTCAGTTGTTCTTTATAACTGGGGATTTAACCTTTCAGACTGTCAAATGGTTGTGAGAACAATGGCCCAGAAAACAGAAGTCCTCTTGGTGCTCCTTCCCACTGTAACACACTGTGTGATTTTAGGCAAATTTACCTTGTACCCTGTTCTACTTTTAGTGAAGTAGAAGTGTTCATCCTTGTCTTCACGGTAGAAGACGTGTGAAGATGTAATAGAACCAAATCAATAAACTAGACAAGGGAGTGCTAGACACTGGACTAGACATAGACGGAAAGCCCCCCCTAACTATAACAAATCAATTATTTCAGCAGATGGGCACTGATTGAATGAAGATAAGATAGTAACTCTTAAGAGCTCACTGGATGGAATTCAAGGTACTTTAAGTGGCCATAGACTTGAACTGGATTCTCTTATTGTTGTGGCCTGAATGCAGGTTGAAACTGGTGAGATGTAGGGGAGCAGCCCTAATTTTGGTGACTTTTCCTGTGGTTGGTGTATAATGAGCATACCCTGTCTGTTCTGTTCTGATACTGTGCTGGTTCCCTGATCTTGCGCTTTCATTGTTGCTCCTCCTTATTTCACACCCATCCATCGTAGGGAACAGAGGAGATGGAATGTACCCAACTGGCCTTGCCCTTCAATAGAGGCAATGACAAGAGTGCCCATGAGTGGGTTTCTGGCATGGGTGTCTGGGAAAAGTCCTTTGGAACGTGGAAATCATTCACAACTACTGGCAACACTTTTTTTCTTGCTCCTGAGTCACACCTATTTTCTGTCTCAGGTTCTGCCCTTGTTCTGTTCCAGAGTGTGTATGGCGACACAGTGTGAGGAATTGCACCCTTACATCATGGCAATTTCGCCTGAACTAAAGGGTGGATGTTTAGATTCTCTGAGCTGGGAAAAGAATTCATCTTTCTACTGTTACCTTAGAAATCAAGATTTTTGTCTATTTCATCTTCAAAAGAATGTATTTTATTTCTTCATGTGTTGTCTTAGTTTTTGCACTGTAAGTGTGGAAATCAGTTAGAAACTGAATTTTCACATTCTCTAGCACAGTTATATTCTTCCTCCAAAGATAAGAAAATTGCATCAACCTTCACTGGGCTCCTATAGCAACTTGTTAAATTAGGTCGAGATGTGGGGGCAGATAACAAGGCTTGAAAGCCAGCCTGTTAGCTGAGTTAAGAATACATCAAATGCAATGCTGGCTTCCGCCAAAATGTACCTCCTTACCTTACTGTGAACTGCTTACGGTTATCAGGCTGATACAATCAGAACTAGCTCCATTTTCTCTTGTTCGAAGATACGTTCTGAACTCCTTCTAATTACAACACAACCTGAGAAAAGTAGCCCAATGTTTTCTATATATTTTATGGATCTCAGCAAAATGCTCTCCTGGTCCTCAAAAATATAGTATCTCTGATTCTTTTTTGTCTTGGTTTTCAATTTCAGTAGGTATAGAAAAATATACTGCATTATCCAATAGTTTTCTCCTTTCCATCCCACCAACCCCATTTTATAAGTAGTGCAGCTGAGGTGCTCAACACACACACACACACACACACACACACACACACGCACGTGCACACACACACACACACAGAAACACATACATGCCAGTGGATTTATTCAAAGCCACATAATTGGAGTCTGCAAGAAAGTAGCTCCTGAATTGAATCTTAGTTGACTACAAAGACTCTTCTCCAGACGGGAGTGAGGACACTCTTTGCATACCTCCATTGTCTCCACTGGGGGATTAGGGCCATATCACCCTCTTGTCACTAATTGAACTGTGTGTGTAGGGGTTAGGGTGTGGAGAGGGGATAGAGATAGCCTTTGACTTCAGTCCAGAGGTGGCCTGTGAATCACTTTTCTCAAACTTCATTCTAGATCGCCACATGCAGCAGCAGGGATGATCCCTTCCCACAACCACTGCAGTTGTTACTGAGTGGATCTGGGGTAATGCTGTCATTAGTGGCCATGTGTTTCCCCACCCCTTGAGTCACAATTATGAATAAAGTGAGTGTCCTTTTTACCTGGAACCCACAAAAGGTTGAACTCAAAGCGATTCATTACCTGTCATGAAATTATATTTTATAGTGTTGTATAGATTTGTAAATAGCCTCTCACTTTTCCCAAGGTTAAATTTGAGCCTATCTAGAATTTAACTTCCAAGTCGTGCTTTTTTTTCTAGGGAGGTAATATATTAGACACCACATAAAAAGGTCCCCATCTCGTAGAAAAAGCAACCCTATACATTCCTTTGTAGGTTCTTTCAAGTTGCTTCTGTTGTGAAGTAAATCCTTTTCTTGCCATTTTGTGGATGGTACTGGAGCCAGTCTAGAGTAACACAAGAAGAAGGTCCTCAGGCCACACCCAGAACCTTGGAGTTTAGGGTTCAGTAATCCAGAACTACTGCTAAAACATGTTTTTGAAATAAACAACTTGACTGAAAAAGGAAGTTTTCAAAGCCCTTCAAATCAGAATGCAACCTGAGATTTGGTAGCATTACCTGCAATCACAGTTTCTGAGGGAAAGCTGGGTTGCAAAATAATCCCCATGTGCTTGGGTACAAATGACAACTGAGAAGACTTTTAGTATGAGGCTAGCTAGTGATTAGGAAGGGGGATGGGTCACAGAAACAAGTTACGAGTGCAGTGTGAATTTATGCATTTGTTAAATGATCTAAACTCAGGTGGGTATGTTATTAGGAACAGTGGAGAACTTTTCAAATGGGGGGAAGGTATCCCTTGAGCCAGGCTCTGGAATATGAAGTCCCTCCATGTGGCTGATGTTGGTATACGACAGTGTTTTGAGTAAAACTGAGAAGGACCAACTTGTTGATAGGTTTGTACAGTAGCCACATTCAGAGGCCCAGGGAAAGCAGTTGACTTTCCTGAGGTCAGGAAAAGCTGAAGCTGGCTTGCAGGCTTGTGTAGCCATTGTAGTCTCAGTGTGGAGAACTTGGATGGATAAGAAGAGATCTCAGAAGTGAGAAAGGCCCCTGTTAAGAGGCCCTTGTGCTGAGCAGGTGGCAGGGAGACAGCTTAAATGGAGTCCTCCTGCATCGCAGGTCAGAAACTGGGAGGGATTCGAGTCACTGTGGTTGGGGGTGGATGCTTAAGGGACCTGT